ATTACGAGTTGTATGCACCCAGTTTACGTTACAGCTTTGAACAAAATGCTAACTGAAAAAATGTCTATGATGCGATAAAAAGTACACAATGATTTTTTTTTTTAATCTATCTAGATCTGAACAAAATATTGACTACTTAGAAAAAGTAGGCAACATATAAATTCCATCTCCTTGATACCACAAATCGGTCAAAACCTCGTTAGTACATTGTACATGCAACAAACTCTGAAATATTCACATATTCTATGACACAATATAGTCATACACTTTTGTATCTTACACTAAATTTATTGAGGTAACTCCACTATTCCTATTCTAATTACTTAAAACATTCTTATTGAATCTTTTTTTTTCAAAAAAAAAAAGCCATTAATGTAAATAAAAAAAAGTCGTTTGTTTTGTTTCTGACTTTAAAAAATAAATAACATTCATTATATCATCAATGCATTTAGCCAAAGTCTTTTCAATTATCACATCCGTCTCACTATTTTCGTTCAATCTATCTCATTCCACTTAACATTATTATTCCTCAAGATCGGTAAAGAGTTTACTTTGGGCTGTTGTACACATACGACTTGGCGAAATAGACAAAGGAGACGAAGGCCACCGAGCTGAGACAAGCAAGTAGCCAATAGAAGTAATCAAGATGTGCCTGGTTCAGGTTATTAGCAAACCAACTCACTTGACCAGACTGACTCGTGGCTTTCTCGATAATGGATACCATGAAGCTACTCAAGAAGTTGCCTATGCCGACTACGCTAAGGTACAAAGAAAGTCCTAAGCTTCTTAGCTCGACCGGGACTTGTCCGTAAAAGAATTCTTGTAAACCAACCATAGTGAAAACGTCAGAGACTCCATAGAGAACATACTGTGGAATCAGCCAACAAATACTCATTGGAACTGTGGCTTTAGGCGAGTCAACTAGCCCATGGTCTCGAGCGGTCTTGAGTCTTTTCATCTCGACCAAAGCAGCTATTCCCAATGAAGGAATTGAGAGGAAAATGCCGGTGGAAATTCTCTGAAGCGTTGTGATTCCCGCTGGTTTATGAGTGATTGATCTTGCGATTGGGACGAATAAACGGTCGTATATTGGGATGAAGACGAGGATTGATAGATTTATGAAACATTGGAGTGTTGCTGCAGGGACTAAGAGTGTTGATGTGATTGATCTGTCCATTGTGGATCCTTGCTTTGTGAAGAAAGTAGGAGATTGTGCATACACAATGCCAAACACTAGACAACACATCCAGATTGGAATGAGACTCAACACAGCTTTTGTTTCCTCAACTTCAGCTAAATCACACGAAATCGCCGCTCTGTCTAAGAATCTGCAGTTGCCAATGATTGAATTCTTATAAAACCTTTTTAACTTGTAAAGAAAACAACGTTCATTTTTCTAAAACAGAACCTTTTTTAGTTTGTTTTTTAAGAGAAAACGTAGAACCTAACAGAGTTCATTCTTGAGTTTAGAATTTGGTATTTGCATCTACAATTTACATAACTATCAACTGATAAAATTGGTAAACAGAACAAAAGTAAACCTACTTATTACCTGAATTTCTTCGAAGTTTCGTTAGGCAGAAGAAGAGAGGTGTCAGAAGGAGTTTGTCGCGGGTTTTTCGCAGCAGCGACGAAAACACGGCCAATTCTTACAAAAGGGTTATTATGCATTCTACCTTGTCTTCCTTCTCCTCCGGTGCTGAAGCGGTAAGTGTTGGTTCCAAGTAAAAACAAAAACAGAGCAAGCATCATTGAAAGACATGGAATCCCAAATCCTAAAGCCCAACTCAGATTCTCTTGGACATAATTCGAGATCAGTCGAGTGGCTAATATGCCAGTTGATCTTGCAAAATACGACCAGTTAAAGTAAACGCTCTTGGCTATGGATTCTTTAGGGTTTTGTTCATCAAACTGATCTGCTCCAAAAGCTCTAAGACATACCTTGAAACCTCCTTCGCCTAACGCTATTAGATAGAGAGCACAGAAAAAGATGGTTACTTTGTGCCGAGAAACACACGAGTCAACAAGTGTTTCTTGATCTTTACAAAGAGAAGGAATCGTCGCTGAAAACGTAAGCAACCCGAGTCCCTGAAACCAAAGATCGCACCAAATCAAAAACACGATATATTTTAAAAAATCAACAAAAAAAAAGAGGAAGGTTGTTAGTTATTTACCAAGATATAGAGAGAAGAGGTTAAGAGGATGGTACGGAAACGGCCGAGAAATGAGTCGGCGATAGAACCCCATATCAGAGGCAAAAACGCTGCCGTTCCGAGCCAGAGGTTCACGTTTGATGCTGCAGCCGCCGTTGACTCCTTTAACGGCCCCGTCAAGTAAGTTATCAGATTCGATGCTATCCCCAAGTAGGCGAATTTCTCCGCCACTTCGGCACCTGTCGGAATTATGAGAATTTTGAGGGGAGCTTTAGGAAGCTGAGAAACAAAAAAAAGACAGTACTTACTCACCAATGATGAAGCCAGAGGATCTCCATCCACCAGAGGAGGATCTGATGGATGGCTTGCCTTGGAAATCGACAAAGCAATCTACTTTACCGTCTAACAGTGTAGTTCCGGCCCCGGAGATCGACATCGCCTCTTATAATATTGTTTCAGAGTCACATGAAGAATTAGAGTGTACATCATAGTGACCGAGAGAGAGATTTTATTATAATAAGACATGGTTGATTGATACAAGTATGGAAGTGGTTGGAACAAGTGCAGTTTGTCACTATCGGGCATTACAACTTTTTAGTTAATAATTCAACTATTCGTTGGATTCAATCATCATTTTTTATTTCTTGTTTTTGTCCTCAGGCTATTCATAATTGATCCGTCTCTTTTTCAAATTTAAATGAATCTTCACCTTATTCATTAGCTACATAAACTAAAAATATGAACTATATATCGGTGTAAATTCTGAAAACTTGTTTTCAACTAAAGGAACTTCGGGCCGAGCGGAGCATGAGACCGACGATCCAAAGATAAAACTTGAAAACTTTGGTTGAAGTTTTTTAATAAATGTGGGACCATCTTTTGCTTGAATTGTAGCATCTTCGGAAAAGATGACATATCCATTTCGATGCGAAATTTATGTCTAATCAGATGGAACTCGAACTTCTCGGACGTATGGAGGAGAGGTTTGAATATTCGGAGCATTGCTTGTTGGAATAGGGATGGCGCCGTCTTGAGGCTGAAAGGTAAAACGTTCCATTGAAGGTGACGTTGGGTAATAATTTTTAGACTAACACAATATTAATGTTGATAGCATATACTGTTTTATTTTGATGTTTATATGCCCCACCGAGTAATAACACAAATTGACTGTGACACAACACAAGCACAAATTTTAAAAATAGAACAGTAAGACATGTTTTTAGATTGAGACACTATTTGGGATTCCCCTGTTGGTGACTCCACCTTCACTGGTTGGAAACAAAGCAGTGTACGGCATCTTAACCGGACCATTCCTGTTCTTGAGATTATCATCTCCGTTCCTCTCATCAATCTTCTTCTCAATCTCTTTTACTTTCTCTCCAAACTTCTCAAACGCTTCCAACGCTTCTTTCTCAGCCGCCCATTCTTTAGAATCTCTCTGTCCCAAATACACCTCATCGCTTGAATGAGTAGACAGAATCTCAATCAGAGATATCCCAAGAAGCGTCTGAAGCTGAGCCGTGATGGTTTTCAAGAACACTTTATCCGGATTCTTCTCAAGTTCTTCAAACTCTTTAGTGTTTTCCTTTGGCATGAACTGTCTGCTTATCGTTGGTCGGTTTGGAAGGTACCCTGCAATCGGATACTGTCCAAAGTTAACCGCTGCGTGAAGAGCAGAGGCCACCCAAATGATTATAGTGCAAGACTCCATGAGTTCTTCACGGTTTTGCATTTTTGGCCACCAAGGTTCTGACTTTTTGTCCCCGTGACCTTCCTCGCGCAACTCCTTCCACCAAGCTTGGAGCTCAGGGTCGTTTTGAACGTCCTCGTCTGTCTTGTAATACAAGGAAATGTAGTCTTGGACCCATGATTCAATAGCATACCAAACCTCAAGCCCATCCACTGCGTAAGGATAGTCTTTTATCCTCAGACGTAAACCGTGTGGTGCTTCTGGGTCCTCAACGGCCATCCCTCTGCAGCCATAATAGTTAAGCCACTCAAATTTTACAAAGCTTATCATTTTTAATCAAGCAAAGTAGAATATTGAAAGATTGAGTAAATATGCATTACCTCTTTTTAAGTTCTGCTGGTAAGGCTTGGTCAGGGAAGGTCCAGTGGTTCTTATAGATAAAAGATGACATTTCCATGGCATACTTAGAAGGGAACACAGTGATCTCAAAGATACCACCACCATTGATAAGGATTTGCCTAGCAAGTGCATTGATGTTCATCGTATCACGGTAGTGAGGTTCAAGGAGCTTAAAAACCGGATGAAGGACGCTCAACTGTCTGTTCGTGGCAATCACAAAAGGTTCAATCGATGCGTGTGTTTGCATCCTGTAAAAACAAAAAACAAAAAACTTATACCTTGAGATCATATAAATAAATCAGTTTTTCCGCAAACTTAAGCATTACCAGTGGCTGATAAGCTGATGATTTCCCGAGTCATTTACGCCCACATAAGCCTTTGCCAACTGCCACAGCGAGTCGTTGACACCTTCACCAGGCGTATATACTTCACTCACTGCTCCAAACTTGTCTCCGTCAGGATTAGGCAAGCTCAGCTCTATCACCAATGGCTTCAAGGTCCCATCATCTTTCAAGAACAAAAGTGTTCTAGTTGCATAAGTCTTAGTCGTCGTGGTGTTTATACGTCCCAAGTACGGCATCAGTGTGTCATGGTGGTCTAATATGAACAACCTTTCTTTCTCTAGAGCCTGAAAATAGCGAAAGACAATTTGTTTCAATTCGACTCGGATATCAAATTAGCGTTTTATATTTGCCAAGTAGTTTTTACCTCTTCCACAGAGAGCCCATCTAAGCTGTCTTCTATATGGCTTTTGGTGATTGTACTGTTTTGGTTACCGTATGTTTCGTTGTCAAGTTTGCTCTTTGGAGGAAACTCCTGAAGAAGTTGAATAGCAACAGGGTTTAGCCCAGCCAGCATTTCTCTAGCGAATTCTTCGTCAGTTCTCCACGCAGTTTTATCCTCTAGAGACGAAGAAAATGATTGAAAAACGTTATTATTACTAATCAAGAACAACGTTTTGGTAATAAGATAGGAGAAAAGCTGATACCTTTGATGACTTGAGGCACAGGATACTTGAGGAATTTTTGGCCGTCTGTTCTGAATATCTCTTTTAACATCTCAAGTGGTATATTCTTGACGATACTATCAATCAAAGATTGGTTTGGTAGATCGATACCTTCTTTGTAGATCTTAAGAACATCTTCAAAAGAATCAAACTCTTTAGGAGTCTCGTCAAACACAGCCTCAAGCGCAGGTTGGATGATCTGAGCGATTGCTTTTAAAGCATAAGCAAGGAAATCAGACATCTTCAAGTGTCCAAATCTCTCATCTCTTGGAACATATATGTCTAGGCTCGATGTGATCGGTAGCCTACTCTCGGTTTGAGGATCTTCTTTAGTCGGTTTTCGTCCGGTTCTTCCTCTTCTTGGGTAAGGATACTCTGGTGTACCTCCAAGTACAGGCCGTGGGTTATTTGGCGGTACGCCTAAATCATTGTAGTAAGCGTAGTCATAGACTCTGTCCCATTCCTTGAGCTCTCCTTCACCGGTTCCTCTTAAGCTCACTAGCTCTTCTTCTCTGTACTTGAGCAGTGCCTCTGGCGTTTCATGTGGAAGATAAGTCTGAAAACACACAAGTAAACATTTGAGCCATTTACCAAAGCATATAGATTGTTGAATTCTTGTGAATTTTAATACCTTGTTAGAGAAGAAAACTCGGTCTTTGGTGTATTTTTTAGCAGGGTAAACCCAAGAATTGCAGACGTAATGGACTCTGCCATGCCCTGGTACATCTTCAAGTGTGAGACTTTTGAGATAAAACTCACTAAAATGACTGTTTCTGATCAAGAATGCCCCGGGGTAACCGAAATCGGTATCGTAATCGAAGGTGATTTTGAAGGCCGATTCGCCTGCGGTTAAGGATGTTATTGTCGTGATCCAGTCTTCCAAATGGGCAGCCTTCCCTAGTTTGCCCTTAGAACCATCTGCAGAAATATTAGAAAGTTGTAACGACTCTATGAGCATCATTATCCCTAACCCCATGAAAGTGTCTTAACTCTTTTTTTTAATTATATTTTAATTAAAAAAGTGTTAAGACACATTAAAAGTTCACCATGCTCTAACAATGAAAAAACATGTAAATGTCTTGGTGGACCAATTTTAAACATACACTATCAAACTATTTAATAGATTAAACACATACATCTATTAATGATGTTTATAACAGATTGTTACTATTGAAGCTACTTTTAGTTGTTCAGATGATCAGATCCTAAAGGAATAAAAAAAAAAATTAAAACGGAACGTGAATATGATCTCAAATGGAATATAATCAGATTAATAAAATTCGATTACTACAGTAAATATTCCGGTTTAGAAAAAGAAAAAAAGCGACTAGACTACATTCAATATTCCGGCTTACAAAAAGAAAAAAAAAAGCGATTACAGTCAATATTCCGGTTTATAAAAAAAAATTCTCTCTAGGGGAAAACAGAGTATTTACAAGC